GAACCCATAGTCATAACCCCTCGCCTTATTACGTTTTCAAGTTGAAGAAGAGTATCGAGGCACTGAGATACTTTATTATGTACTCAAATGTATCTGTGGTAGGTGTTCGAACATTCCCCAATCGAGAATCAATGTCTCTCGGAGTGTCAAAGTATAAACGACGTATCAGTGCTCTCCCCAAGAAGAATTTCAATGCTGTCGCAGAAAGAAATTGAGAATTGCCTCACAACCGTCTGAAGACTCTCACAAAAAAGTCTTTTGCAGGGAGGAAAGGAGCTACTTCGGATCAAGCACTACCCCAATGATAATCCTCAGATCCTTGTAAGGATATTTTCCCGGGTTGTTCACCCAGGAAAAATCCAAACTACTTTTTAGCCGTCTCTATCGCTCAATAGTCGGGCGCCAGCCGAACCTTCACGGGAGGTTCGACGAAAACCGGCCTCTGAGGCAAACTCGTCCACTCAGAGGACTTTTTGGCTGGACAATGGGTTGCCCAGCTAACATCAGCGTGATACGGTAGAGTGGGCGAGGTCCACCAGGAGTATTACCGGCACATTCCACGGCCTATGCAAGCCGTGAATTATGCCTCGCGGCACAAGTTCCCTACTGAATGGGATTCATCTTTCCTCCGGAGGGTCTCTCAACTCCTCCGGCATGCTTCCTCTCTCCAAGTATTTCTACTCGGGAGAATTTCCGAGCTATCTGCGATTCAGCCGGAACTTCTCAGAGCCTGGGACGTGGAGAGGCNGGCTGGACAATGGGTTGCCCAGCTAACATCAGCGTGATACGGTAGAGTGGGCGAGGTCCACCAGGAGTATTACCGTCACATTCCACGGCCTTTGCAAGCCGTGAATTATGCCTCGCGGCACAAGTTCCCTACTGAATGGGATTCATCTTTCCTCCGGAGGGTCTCTCAACTCCTCCGGCATGCTTCCTCTCTCCAAGTATTTCTACTCGGGAGAATTTCCGAGCTATCTGCGATTCAGCCGGANCTCCTAGTCTGGATATCTCGGCAACGATAGGTCATTCCGTTACCCTATCCCCACCAATCAACCCGACGGGATCACGGAGGTACCAGTCCTTTCACCTGGCCGTTGGTCCCTAGCCTACTCCGACATAGCCTATAGAATCGCCCAGTTGGACGGCCTGTACGTCGGCCCCGTTTCCCCTAGCACATGCTGGGTGAATTCTAATACGGCGATAGTCTAGTACGCCCTCCAGACCTCCAGGGGTCGCGGTTTCACCCATAACCGCTATGCCTTAGGTCTTTCATTGGTTTGTGGTTTATCTCACCTAGTCCCGGCTTTCGTCAGCCGCTTCTAGGTGTCACTACTTATCTCTCTTCAACAATTTTGAGAGTTCAATTATCTTTTTGGAAGGATTTCAACCCGTAACGAGAAAATCTCGTTACATCCTTTACGAAAGCCAGAAATCATCGGTGACGCTATGAAATACACCCAGGACATAGAAGGCAGTAGAAAAAACAGAAAAGCCCAAAAATATTTCAATTCTCATCCTGCTGTGATCTCTCTATTTGAATTTATTTAATGTTGATTTGAATTTGGAGTGAGAGAGTTTCCGTGGTTCCCGGTAGCTTAGTTGGAAGAGTGCCCGGCGCGTAACTGGGAGACCCGGGTTCGAATCCCGGCTGGGCGAATCGGGATTTTTTCTCTCTAAATTCTAATTTTATTTGAATTTTTTTTTTTCAAATTTCTGTGAGAAATCGGAGTGTTCCATCGATTTCTCCAGTGAGCTAACAAAACTGGATCCAACGCATGTTTCTCCACCCAGCGAAAAAAAATTCCAAGATTCGTTATTTACTGCTGTACCTCCCCCTCTCAAGACTTCAAGACCCACTGAGGGCAATACAGTCAGCAATAAAATCAAATCTGGTAACGAGTGACGCTCCTTAGACCTAGGCGCTTTTCAATTCGAGACAAAACTGCAACGATAGACATGCCCAAAGTTAAGATGCATGGAAGAGTCTAACGCAAAGAAAAAGCAGTGAGAAATACAGAGTTTTGTATTTGTTACTTATCGTATGATTCAACAAGAAATGGGAGAAAAAGATTTGGAACGATGCATACATGTGTTCACCATATGAGATCAACCTATTGTACGACTTCTCTTGACAAATTAATTTCAATATATGAAAATTTGTGTCCAGGCCAAGATCAAATTACTCCCATTTCGGGAAGCTAATTACTACCATTGAAATATACTATAAGGAACTGCCAATTGCACTTAATGAATGCAATATAGTCGATAATCAGTTTATCATCGAAAAAATTAGAATATTGAAAATAATAAAAGAAGTGTGTCTTGGAATTATTTGTCTAAATGAAATAATTCTTGAGTTTTCCTAAGTTTCATTTTTTTTATTAACTTAATAGTTCTGAAGATTCGTACAGATCTCATAAATCTTTTATATTTCATCGAATGAAAGAAGGTTAGCTCATGTATGAAAAATGAATAGTCAAACTTGATTGTGAGGGTCACGAAGGGAAAGAGTTAGTAGAAAATTGTCGCTCGTTCATAGAAGAACTATGAACGTTCTATTCTAAAGTGAATACAATATCGAAATAATTGGATCACTGGAATTTTTGCATGGAATTTCTCTATCATTGAATATAATAATAAATGCAGACGTTCCCAAAATTTGATATAACTTCTTGATTTTCTGTCATTTTTCAAGCTACAGAAAACATGTATGTTATTTGCCATCGAATTTTTCAGTCTTTATAACAATGAAGACTGAAAAATTCGATGGCAAATAACATACATGCATTCCATTCGATAAGGGAATTCCATGCTAGGACACAATTAGTGGGATGTATCATATCACCACCTGTTGATAATTTGTTTCACGTAAACCAGGCATCACAACTTCTCATAACTGTGGTCCTAGATGTTCAGTTGCATTCACGAAGAAAATTTAGATTGAAGGAAAAGAAACGTAAATCGTGCATGCAAACTACATCCCCTAGAGCAAAAGAATTAGTGCTGTAGGTATGGAACCAGTTTTTTTTATATTCTCCTAAATCAAACTTTTCCTTCTCAAGAAACTTCCAATAATTACAGTACTACGTATTTTATAATGAATTCATGAAAGAACTAAAGAGAAAAGATGTACATTATGCATATAAGCTGTATCGTCTGGGGGGAGAGGCTTTGCGTTGCAGGTACAACAACAGTCTTTTATATTTTTCTATTTACAGTTTACTTTCATCACGAAATAAAGTTCAAACATGAGAGTTTGTTTAAAACAATCAAACTAAAAACCATTTACTCTTGGTTTACTATCTCTCGTCTTCCTGAATTTTTTCAATAAAATCTTTATTTAAACCAATAACATTGGATAAGAATCATATTATAACTAATATACTTAAAATAAAGAACTAGCTTTGGCGGAACAGAAAACTGAAATGTTGAGCGTAGTGAACGTTCCTGCTCACTGATTAATCAGATATAAGGCACATTCAGGTTGTATCACCGGATTTCCTTTCACAGGTTTTACTTTACTGAGTAGTTCATCATGGTACTCCCACGTTCCAGTACAACGGCAACAATAGGCCACGAAATGATCATAGGTCCCATCGTATGAGACGACTCCAGCTAATCTGAAAATAATAATTGTTCCATTGAATCGTTAAATATATGAATTCTCAAGGTGAGAGAACTCCAATGAATCAGTCAAAAAATGCATCATACCTGTATTCTCTGCTCAAGTTCAAAGATGTAGGCAGATCGTAGAGCTTGCAAGTACGACCAGGATCGGTTGCTCTCTCTCTGCAATCTAGCTCCAGATATACATGACAATTAGAAACATTTTCCTCACGCCTGACTGCTCCACAAGGACATTTCACATTCCAGAGTTTTGGATAATACTTTAGCGTATCCTGCAAGCGCTTGAATCCAAAGCGCCTCAATGATGGATTGTCAGGACAGAATGTCGATAGTTTTCGCTGCTTTTCTTTTATATTGATAGCAAAACTGAAAATTCCTCGAAACTGATACGAATAATTCATTTTGAAAGTACAATAACCATTTGTAGTAGAACTGTAGGGCCCATTCTCCTACTGTCCCTTCAGCTGTTCTTCGCTTTTTAAATCCTGCAGAGTTCCCCATCAGGTTCCGCTCGATTCAGAAATCCACGGTTTCATCAATCAAAGTCCCCAACAAAACAAGGACATTTATCTCTGGAGCAAGATGAACCTCAAGTAGGGCATGCTCATCGCTGTGCCGGTGAATCATTAACCCCTCGGGTCCCTTGAGACAATTGTAGATCCATTGAGACTGATATATAGCAATCTGATAGAGAGCTGCCCATGTCAATTGAGTCTCCTTGAGGTTCAGTGTATAATCGTTACTCCTTTTGCACAGGACTCAAGACCTTATCACCAGTATTCTACTCTCAAACCTCTTCATAATCCCTTTCATTTTAATAAATCATCAATTGTATCTCTTCTTGTGCTGCTGATGAGAATTATATGGAGACCAAAGTATTCAGTCTATTGGAGGGTGTAATGCTTGAAGATTTCCTGGCATTGATCCAAAAAGAATGCGCATCTCTAATTATTACCTCTGCAGGAATGAAATAACTTATGATATGGACTAGTGATTAGTGTGAAACAGGGAATACTCGTGGAGACTAACAATTTTACTTTGGAAGTAGAGAGAATGTAGAAATAATTATCAATTGTTCTCCCCAAAAAAAGTGGTATCAAAATCAGAGAAAAATTGACAAGCATTTATTGAAAATGATGCTTGCAAGCTTACCTCACTCAGTTACACATAGCCTTCTCACAGGGTTTGCAGTGATTGTCAATGCTTTTGATCGAAGATTATTGGAGGAATGTTCCTTTTAACAATCTTTCATCAAACATACCCTCTTTCGAGCTGTCAGAATCTTTGGGGCTAATGATTTCCCTTATGCCAATGTCCCGTATCACAATGCACATATGTATTTCTATTTCCCGCACAGGTACAAATAAGATGATTAATCCTTCATCAACAATTATGTTGTTCAATTTAATGTTTTTTTTCATGAAAAAATGAGCTAATATTGTAAACACACATACAAACAGAGAATAAAACGCCAAAGTCGATAATACAGGAACCATCAATGCTTTGCTGGGGGTGGGTTAGATCATAATTGTTCACCTCAACGTAACTAATTAACAATGATTGTACAAACAATAAAAACATCAAATTCGTAATGTACAAACGATTTCCTTCCTAATATTGTAAATACACATACAAACAGAGATAATAAAACGCCAAAGTCGATAATACAGGAACCATCAATGCTTTGCTGGGGGTGGGGTTAGATCATAATTGTTCACCTCAACCCAAATAATTAACAATGATTGTACAAACAATAAAAACATGAAATTCGTAATGTACAAACGATTTCCTTCGGAATTGACCCATAATTTAGCACAATTAAGCAATGTACAGTTTTTTCAGGCTAGCATCATGCCAAAACTTGATTAATTTTTTAAAATTAATGAGTGAATGTACAAACAAAAATTTGCATTGTACAATCATGTACTAACGATGTAAAATCGAGTACATAAGGTCGTTTTTCTAATTAGTGACCTATTCCGGCTAAATACCTGGGGGTGTCTACATTGGTTGTTGGGGTCGTTTATGTCTCTTCCATTGGCTGGTTGGTGTAGTCTGCCCTTCCTACGTTCTTCTTGTTCAAAGCGTGGGATTTTCTCGAGATTAGGGCTGCACGTGAAGCCGGCTGTGACGTCAATGCTGAGGTGGCGTCTGCATGAGGCATGGAAACAAAGATGTTACAGGATCCGTGAGAGCAAAGTCGATACTGGCTCCCTGGGAGCAATGGTGACACTGGCTCCATGGGAACGACCGTGATATCAGTCGCTCTGCTCCGGATGCTTTTATCTTATCCCATTCCTTTGCGATGGGAACGTCTCAAGTGTTCTGGTCTCACGCTGTGTAGGGATGATGTGACTCTTGTCGTCTCTCCTTTATTTTATTCTCTATACATTGTTTTTATACTCAGTTCCAACTGTAGGTACATGATATGGTAGATGGTCTCCATGGGTCCGTGGGTCGGTATAAGGTAAAGGATTGGTAGTCGGTAACTCTACTGTGGGTAACTGGCTTAGCAGTCGGTAACTTGACTGAGGGTAAATGAATAAAGAGTTGCAAGGGGTAATATGATTTAGCAGTCAGTAAATTAACTACAGGTAAATACATCTGTGGGATACTAATAAGTGCAAGAGATAATGATTTCAACTGTCGGTTATGGAATTAGTGCATCGATAATTACTCAGTCGGTAAGTTAGCCCTATTATGTCGATATAAAAACTGACAGGAATCTGCATTACTGACTGCCAGCAAGAGATGAACCTACATTACCACCTGATGGCAAGGAATTTATCTATTTGACCATCAGTCGGTAAAGTGGGAATCTATGTCGGTAATTTTCCTTAGGCGACCATTGAGGTGAGTCGGTGCGAAATGGACCGCTTGGGTATTATGGACCTCAAGTAAGTCTTGACAATATGGATCAAAGTAGGGTACTACGAACCGCGTTATAAGTAACTCTGGGTATTGTGGATTGATTGAGGGGATGATGGACCGCCTCATAGGTAAATGGAAGGATTATGAACTGAATAAGCGGATTATGGACCATCTTATTGGTATATTGAGGTATTACGGACTCAATGAGGGGATTATGGATCATCTTATGGGTAAGTTGAGGTATTACGACGGCCTCAATGAGGGGATTATGGACCACCTCACGGGAAAGTGACCTTGTTGAAGGTAGGATGAACCCGATGAAGGTAAGATGGACATGGAAATTAAATTGAGTCATAGGAAGAACCATTCTAGGTGTCATACATTTACATAATAATAGTAAGTTCTATAATCATCATATGTGCCTGCGAGGCAAACGAGAACAACATTTAATGTAGTGATTTTTTCAAAAAAATAGCAATTTAGTAGGTGAGGTCAAAACCGAGTGACCCGAAAGTTCATTGAAAATAGTAATAGGACATGTGAGAATCATCTGATTCTTATCTGCGTCATTTCTGTGCCAACAAGGAAAATTGGGCTCCTGTAGTTCTGCGGAAAAAAACTTTTTTAAATTGGCTGTTGTTAAGCTAGGTGGTCAAATGGCACAATTGAAATCGATAAGTGGTAAAAAGTAACGGTCTATTAATCAACTCAATTTTTGCGAGAACCACAATCGAAATCAATAAGTACCCCTAAAATTTTCTCGAGGAATGTTTGACAAGAGGAAAAAATTCCTAATGAATGTTAGATGTGAGCAGATAATTCATAATGAGTGGTAGATGGGAGCAGATAATTCCTGATGAGTCGTGGAAAGAAACAGAACTTTTTAATGAATGTAGGAACAGAGCAGAAAATTCATAATCAATATTAGAACAGAGTAAAAATTGATTGATCAAGGTTGAACAAGAGCAGAAAATTATTGAGTGTTGAATGAGAGCAGATAATTCCTGATGAGTTTGAGACAGGAGTAGAATTTCTTTAATCATTGTTGGACGAGAGCGGACAATTCTGAACGGGTGTTAAATGAGAGCAGATAATTCCTGATGGGTTTGAGAGAGAGACTTGATTTTTTAAATCAATGTTGAATGAGACCAGAAAATCCCTAATGAGTGTTAAATGGGAGCAGATAATTCCTGATCAGTTTCAGAGGAGAGTAGATTTTTTTTATCATTGTTGGACAAGAGCAGAAAACTCCTCTGTGTTACCTGCAAGCAGATAATTCCTAATGAGTATTACAGGTAAGCAGAAAATTCCTGATGAGTTTCAGGGAGGAGCAGAAATTTTTTAATCAATGTAGGAGCGGAGCAGCAACTTCGTAAGTAATAGAGAAGAGCAAAAACTTTTTAATGAGAGTTGAATGAGGGCAGATAATTCCGGATAAGTTTGAGAGAGGGTTAGAATTTTAGAAATCAATGTCGGATGAGAGTAGAAAATTCTTAACGAGTGTTAAATGAGAGCAGATAATTTTTGATGAGTTTAAGAGAAGGGTAGAATTTTTTTTTATCAATGTTGGACGAGGGCAGAAAATTCCTGATGATTTTAAGAGAAGAGTAGATAATTGCTGATAAATTGTAGTGTTACGTCCCAAATGGTTTACACTCAATTGTCTGTTGAATAAATTTGAGGAATAGTTAAATTGACCCTTTGGTCGGTAACTCCAGGTGTTGAGGGAACCTCTCTCCTTAGGTAGGTTCCACTAATCAACTACTACGTGCAGTTGACCAATCAAGACACGATTTAGAGTGTTTCATTTAATGAGATTTATTTAATAACAATAACACTTAGTTTTATTACACTGTTTCACTATTGTAGGTTCAGGGTTTTTTTCAAGTGACCCTTGTCGGTTGACGGTTATTAATGTTTAAATGTTCTTGTTTTGTTTTGGTTTATTTTATGATTCGACTTCTATTTAATTAAATTGGTATTTGTGATTAAGTCTCGAATACTTTGAATTTAGACTTTGGATATTTGGAGTTGAAGTATTCACTGAGACTTTACTTGGACTTGAAGTTTCACTTTAAGATTTTTAGAGAAGTTATTCCTTNGAGTTGAAGTATTCCCTCAGACTTTACTTGGACTTGAAGTTTCACTTTAAGATTTTTAGAGAAGTTATTCCTTTCTCTTTGACCGTAGATATAGAAGTGATTTTACTAAGATGAGATTTGAATATCTTAGGGCTGCTTAGGGCTCACGCGTGGGCGTACACGCTCTAGTTTCTGAGGGTAGGATTGGTTCATTAGGGATGGTGGTGAGGAGAGAGGTGAACCGATTGGTTTTAGGTCAATCGGAGAGCCTCGAAAGTCGTGATTGGATTAGGAGCAATTAAGGGTGCAGCGGCATTTTACTCTTGAGAAAAATTCTGTTCTCACGGAACGTTAGAATTTGGAAAACGTCATTTGACACTTATGATCTTCGGGTTTCTTGGTTTCGCCGTGTTCGGTTTACAATTTCAGGTTGCTAGTGCTTATCTTAAAGATTTAGTTAGTTCTTTTTCATGTTTTTGGATAATTTATTATGCAGGTGTGCATACGAGTGGTTTTCGGTTTCGTTTCAAATGTGGGAAAGCTAGTTTTATGAT